TCAAATTCATTTCCAAAGTTATTATAATTGTGTTAGGACAAGAAAGATTTGTAATTTCACATGTCTTGTTGTGTATGTAGACTGGTGCAGGAGCAGATGGAGCAGTCGCTGTCTGACATCCAGCGAAGACTCTCAGTGAAGATAAACGAACTGCATCTGGCCCACGAGCAGATCGGAGAACTTCAAGAGAGATTAGGTGTGCTGAGCCGCCAGATGTTGCAAACCTTCAAAACTCTGTTTTTTTTTTTTTCTTCTTTCTTTTTCTTTTTTTGATGCAGCAGCTTAAAAGTTAGCTTTTTTTTTTTTTGTCCTCTTCCTGATAGGGGAGCTGAGTCAGCAGAGCTCCAAATGGAATGAGGAAGTGGAAACTCTCCAGAAGTCGATCTGTGTCCTGGACAGAGAGAAAGACATCCTACAGGATGAGGTGGATCAAAAGACAGAGAAGCTGGTTGCTCTCCAGGATGACCTGTCCCAGAAGGTACCAACAAATTCATCAGCACTTTTCGTTTACAAGGTTTTTGTCAAAGAAACACAATTTTCAGATAAAGCTTGTTTGTTTATTTTTCGTGTGTGCGTCAAGAAATTATCTAGGATGTTCAAATATCAACAACTAAGCTAGTGAAATGTTGGAACAACATGCGTCATGGCTGCTCTTGCATCATAATTAGCTCAAAAAATGGAGTGTCAGCAGTTTTTGAGGCGGATGTTCTTGACACGCTAAAAACAAAAAGCTCTCGCTGAGTTTAGTTTATAAAAATAAGAGAAGCATCCTCCGGGTTGAGTTCATAAAAATTCCAAATATAAATGATACTTTGCGGCAGAAAAACTGTTTCCATCCTCACTCATTCAATGCAAACAGTCAAACCAACTTCAACCCATCTGAGTTTTTTTTTTTTTTTGTTTGTTTGTTTTTTTCCTTAATTGCAGCAAGAGGCTGACTTGACCAGGAAGAAGTAATAATAAATAATAACGCTGTTATAAACTCAATCTGGCCCCCGATCTGCTCGTGGGCCAGTTGCGGTTTGTTTCAAAGCTGAAATCAAGGTTAAATGACTTTAATCAGTGATTTACTAATCATCACATCATCACGTAATCATCTGGAATAAATACTGTAATTTGTAAATGTCTCAGTGGGTTCTGATGAGAACTAATGACGAGCAATCCTTTGGCTGTTCCCAGGAAAAAACCCTCGAAGACGTGAGACTCACCGTCAGAAATATGGACAATTCCTTAGCGTGAGTACCGCTTTTAACTGAGCCGTATTTCGGCAGCAGAAGCCGTTGCGGTAAGCTTGCTACGCTTTTCTCAACGGTGAAATTGATGCGATTTCTGTCTTCCGTTCAGTCAGCTGCAAGGAGCGCTGAAGAGTCGAGAACGGGAGATCGGCAGTCTGAGGAGGCAGCTGGATTCGTCTCAGGAGGAGCTGCCTGCTCTCCAGAGAGACAAAGAAGTCCTGCTGAGAGAAAACAGGAGGCTGCAGGACGACCTGGCCACTATGACCAGGGAGAACCAAGTAGATGGAGATTTTAAACCCCACTTTTGTCTTTTGTTGTTAGAAAGTCGAACACAGACCAAAGAAATGTCTCTCTGTCCAGGTTGTACATTTAGAAATGGAGGAGGCTTTGCAAGAGAAGGACGAGTTGAATTCCAGGGTCCAGTCGTACATTTCTGAAGTGTCCAGAATAGAGAAACTGATGGCCACAAAGGTAAGGCCACGCTCTCGTCTCTGTAGCTTTGGCTTGTTCTGCTAGTTTCTGTCATCTGTGGAAAAACTTTCTGTTGTTTAACCGGTGATCCCCAGGAACAGGAGAACAGGGACTTGCTGGAGCGCTTCAGGATGGCCCACTCTGGGATGCAGGAATGGGAGCAGAAACTGCACCAGGCAGAAGGCCTCAATAGCTCCATCCGCCTGGAGCTGCTCTCCTTGGACACAGAGCGCAGGCAGCTCCAGGAGACCGTCGGACTAAAAGAGAAAGAGATCCAACAGGTGAAGCATAAAAAGAAAAAATCAGCTCCAAGCAGGGATACAAACAATTAATCCACGTACGATTAATTTGAGTGCTGCACATTTTCACCTATATTATTATTTTCATCTTTTATTTTTCTATCCAGCAACTTCTAAGTTTAATAATGTGAGAAAACCACAATTTTCTTTGTTCAGACATTTAATATACCTGATTAAAAAAAAGGTATTACATTTTAACATTATTTTCTTGTATTCAGCATGTTATGAAAAATGTAGCATTTCATTTTATGGAAAGACTGTCAACGTTCTTGAAATAAGAAAAAACTCAAGTGTTTAAGAAAATGTCCGCTTACCAACAGATCGATACATAAATTTTAGATTAACTCAATAATCGATAACTGGCATCTCTACCTCCGAGCATATATTTAAAGGTTTTTTTTTTTTTTTTTTTTTTTTTAGATCAAAATCGGTAATAAAACTGAAGTGATCAGTATCCTAACGTGGCTTCCCCCTCCTTCTGTCCCTCCCAGCACATGCAGGCGCTGCAAGCTTATGAAGCCCAGGTGTCCTCTCTGACCCGTGGGATGTCCCAGCTACAGGAGGACCTGTACAAAGCCCAGGAGGAGAAGGCGGCACTCATTTCTGATCTGGCTTCTGTCAGGGAACTCTGTGTCAAACTAGACTCTGGAAAGGAACTCGCTGCACGACATTTGACCTCCAAGAGCATGGAGCTAGAGAGGGTGAACAAGACTTTGTGTTTTTTTTTTTTTTATTTAATTCCATCTACCATAATCATAATTACACTTGTTGCATTCTTTGTGATGTTTTTTTTTGTTCTCCTGTACTCAGATCACTGGACAACTGGAGGATCTTCGATCAGAGATCGAGGTCCTGAAGAGGCAACTGGCCAGTGAGAGGCTGACTGTTCGCAACCTCGAGACGCTGCTGTCCACCAATCGGCAAAAAGAGTTCGAGAAGCACCTGGCTGCCAGCGAAAGGGAGTCCGAGCTGAGAGCCCTGCGCGACAAGCTCGCTCTGGCTGACAGCAAAAAGTAAAAGACAAATCCAGTCCACTTTACTGGTTTTTGAGCTCAATAAAATATTTTTTTTTAATAAAAAAAAGAGAAAAAAAAAAGGATGCTGAATGTTTATTTCGTATGTGCATAAAGCGCAGAGAACACCAGAGATGTGTCCCACCTCCGTGGGAAAGTGTCTCAGATGCAGACAGAGATGGACGTGCTGAAAAGACAGCTGACCACAGAGCGCTTTGAACGGTGAGTTTATATTGGGGGGGGGGAAATCTTTCACTGTCGCATCATCTGCTGACACTTGGAAATATTGAAGCTATTATAAAAAATAAAAAAAAAAAACTCCAACACAGCCTGGAAAAGTTTTGAATTTTATTTGAGTATTTTTCAGGTTTCAGGAAATCATCATCTATGTTGATCTATCCTTGTTTCAAATCCATTTTTTTTTTAGCAATTGTAACTGTTCATCCATCCAATTAATCAATACTTCTCTGAAGTCGACCGTATCCATCTGCCTTTGAAGCAATCAGTCCATCCATCACTTTTTTACCTGTCTGGTCAGTTTGTCTTTTTTTCGTCCTGACCACTGCAAGAATTTCTGAAGTACACTTACAGCTTACCTCCTTACTAATACTTTAAAAATGACTGAAAAGGGCAAAACACTTTGAAAATCCTGGAAAATGTTGAATTTTAACAGGAAATGCGTAGAAACTCTGGGTGAGGAAAACATGACATTTTAGATACATAAAGTGGATCATCTTGGGCGATTTTGATGCAATTCCACAGGGATTTCTTAAGTTTGTACTTTCTCTTACTCTTTGTTGGACATGACTGAGTTAATTAAATGCAAAATGGGTGTATTTTTGTATCGTTTATTAAATATTTATGTTGAAAACAGGTGAGGTTTTTTTCCAGGGATTTCTTAAGTTTGTACTTTCTCTTACTCTTTGTTGGACATGACTGAGTTAATTAAATGCAAAATGGGTGTATTTTTGTATCGTTTATTAAATATTTATGTTGAAAACAGGTGAGGTTTTTTTCCCCCTCTAAATGTTAGCTGTAGATTTAGTTTGGTCAGTCAGAAATTAAATGAATAAATCTCAAATACGCCCGATAGTTTTTGACAATCACCTAATTTACTAATCAATATAGATTTTAATAATTGTAGATCCTAATGTTTGGCTCAGATAACTGACGTGCAGCTGCATGTACAGGAATGTAAATAAATGGAGATTAAAGGTTTAGTCCTAAGATGTGTGGCATTGTCCCTCTCTCCTCAGTGAAAGAGCGGTTCAGGAGATGCGTAGGCAGGGTTTGTCATTTTCGCCTCTCCAGAGCTCATCCAGCGGCTCTCACCACACGTCTGCAGAACGCTCCGTCCTCCGAAGTCATGAACACTCAGACAAGTACGGTTTGGTCAGGATCATAAACTTTTTTTTTTTTTTACATAAAGTCCATTGTTTCAAACTGCAAATGACACATTTTTATTATGTTTAAACCCTAAATGCTGAAACCCTTTTTTTTCCCCCCTCCCTTTCTCCCTTTTAGGAGCGTTAGCTTCAAGGATTAACAGCTAACGACAAGTGAAGTTGCAGTGAGTCAGATAAACACTTGAAGTTTAAGTCTGGACATGAAGTATGAAGGCTTCCACAGATCTTGACATGAAGTAGTAGCCTGCAGCATTCCTGCTAAAGTTAACTTAAACAATGTCTCAGGACATGGGGGGCGGGGGAAGAGCTGCTGTGAAACTTTTTTTTTTCCTATTCTAACTCGACTCACGTCATCATTAGGGCGTTGGCATCAGGTACAAACATGTCTAAAAATGAAATGCTTTCCTAACCTCAAGTACTTGAGTATTAAAATGTTGAGTTTTGTGGATTATACTTAATATTTTTGTTATATATATATATATATATATATATTAATAAATTATTTGTAAAATAAAGGGATTGAAAAAAATCAAAACAAGAAATGGTGTACATGATAAAAAAAGTTTCTCAGTTTCATTAGATGGTAACAGTTTAATGCTCCATGAGAAGTAAGAGGAGGGGAGGGACATCGCTGTCCAAGATTAGAACATTAGATTGACTTAAAAGTATAAAAGTTCTGTAATTTAGTTTTTGGCAGAGTGTTGGTAACACAACATGCACCAAAATTTATTTTAGAACAGAACTGGGTACAAATAAATCTGAACTTTTTTTTTTTTTTTTTTCTTTCCCTAATCTACACATGTTCAAAGTTAAACAAAATACACCCCAAAATATTTGGTCAAATGTCTCTTAGCAAACTGCACCTTGGCAACGGGGCACCTATAGCCATCAAGATGGTTCTGGCATAGTTCTGGTCCTCTTATCAGAAATGGTAGAATGATTTTGAAGGGTACTGGTACATGGCACAAATTAGATGGATTACTGATGAAAGGTGAACTACCTTCAAACTTCTCCTCAAATCAACAAATAGTTTGAAATTAACTGGGTATTCTAACACTCCATGTTAGAAGAATGGTCAAATATCCAGCCAGATATTTGACCACAGCTGGTTCATTTTAAGCAGCTAGCTAATTAGCGGGTTAGAGAAAATATATTACGTTTGTTTAATTTTTCTTTGAAGTTGAATGTTGTTTCATCATTCCAACCTGACAAGAACAACAGTTCAGACAAATTAAAATAAATTACTAAGATCCATGCCAGTAATGAACTAGCTGACACAATTGTGACCTATTTACTGTAACAATTCATACAGGTTTCAATGACCTTTTTGAAGCTTTAGTGGTTGGTGTGACATCAGAAGTACATGTTTAACATCTCTTAAAATAATACTTTTTTTCCTTAGGAACAAAAATAATATAAAATGAATTTCTATGCATATATATATATATAAACATTTAAAAACCAGAAAAAGGAACATGTATTAATGCCGGCAGTGCTCAGTGGTTGTGTTTGGGAGGGGGTAAGCAAAGAGAGAGAAGTCTAAAATGTACTTCGGCAGGAGTTCCCTGAGTAGCTTCTGCGGCAAAGTGCACAAGTAATAGTGTAACGTTTGTGTGGTGACGGGCTTGTACCACGTCTGCCTCTCCGGGAAGTGAACAAAAGGCGGCGCCCCAATGCGCTGCAGCACGTACTCCGAGTCCCTTCCAAGCTGCTCATAAGAGCCTATGAAGTTATAAGAAACGGCGCAGGGCTGGCACAAGTTGTAAATGGGCATCCAGTGCTCATTCATGCGCTCCACGTCCTCGTCCAACAAGTAACGGACAAACTCTCCGAAGGTCACGTCGTCTCCCGTCACGGACGCATCTTTGGCACGGCCCTTCCTGTAGCGCTTCACGATCTCCGCTCCGTACTTCTTCTGGTAGGATTCGATCTCTCCGAACTTGTTCCTGTAGGCGGAAAGCAGCCGCTCCATGGGCTCCCGCACGAACATGAACTTGAAGTAGTGCTTGAGGCGGTAGCGAATTTCCTCAGGCTTCAGGGAGGACAAAAACTTCAAGTCACTGCGGTGATCCATCTTGATGTTGACGTCCACGCTCTCCAAGGCTCCGCTCAGGACCTTCAGGACTCTCTTCCAGTTGGAGCAGGCCACTTTGGGGACGTAGCAGTAGAGGAAGCGGTACTCGTCGTTCACCAGGATGTGCTGCAGCACCGTCTTCCTCTGCAGGGGGCTCAGGGACCAGACGCTGTGGGGCATGTTCTTCTGGCTGCACATGGTCCTGATGGTGCGGTTGCGGATCTCCTGGAGGATCTACATGCGAAGGAAAAACCACCGGTGAAATAAATTTAAATTTTGAACCACTACTCATACCCGGAGAACTTTTTCTGATTCATGCAACGTCAAATATACGTCTATTTTTGGGTTTTTAGGTAATTGTGAAAGTCAAGTGGATATACCGTTTAAAAAAAAAATTAAACATCTCAAAAGTGTGCTATGCGTCTATATTCAGCCAGTCTGTAAGAACTTTGTATATTTAACAAAAAACACCTTTTGCTCAAATTACAGCTGCAGATCAGTTTTTTGATCTGCAAAGATCAAAAGACTGAAACTTCGCTAAACAGCTCGAGCTCAGTCAGACTGGTTTTCAAGTCTTGCCACAAATTCCCAGTTGGATTCATGTCTAGACTGTGACTGGGCCGTACTAACACACGAATATGTTTTGGCATAAATCATTCCTTTGTAGCTCTAGTTGCATGTTTGAGATGAACCTCCAACCCCAGTCTCAAATCATTTGCTGCCCTGTAAGATTTTCTTCCAGGATTACCTTGTGTTTAGCTCTTCCCATCTTATCAACTTCAAACTGATGTTCTAGCTGAAGAAAAGCGTCCCCACCACCATGTTTCACTACAGGGATGAGGGTCTTAAGGGTTTTCTGTCACGGTGGTTTGCATACAGGCGTAAAGAAAATAATCTGCGATTTCTCTGCTGTTCCCTTTACATGGCTTGTGGCAAACTTATGACATTGTTTAAACGGTGGCTTTTGCAAGCCATTTGTCCATTAAAAACAGATTTTTAAAGTCCACAATGAATAGTTTCCGTGTTGACTATTTTTAAACCTCTGTTTTCTGAGAGAAGATGAATGCAGAGCTGAACTGACTGGATACAAATGAATGGTACACTTTTTAGTGTTTAGTATGTTATAAATTTGAGGTACAACATTTAATTTCCCTTTTTGGATAATATTTTTGAATTTGAAATGTGTGTACAAGTTTAAAGGCTTTACTTAGTGACACAAAAAATAGATTAAAGCAAAATTTAAAACAGGGAGGGGAAAAAAGTCTTTTTTTTTCTTTTTTTTTAGTTTTGTAAATAAAATAAAGTAACTAAAACTCGATTGCTGGAAGAAGATGATCCATACAGGTAAACGCTTGAAGTACCTGGGAGTCCACGTCCGCGCCGTCTGCACCGTATTTCCGGGTCTCACCGATGAGCTCCAGCCGCCTTGCGCTGCCCCGGGGAGAAGGTGTCTCCACGCTGTTCAGCATTCCTTTCTCTATCATGAGCAGCAGGCCTCCGGAGGCTACGATCACCAGGAAGGTTAGCACCGAGGGCAGCAGGGCGGAGCTGCGGCGGACAGAGCCCGGGCTCCCCGCGCTCCTGAAGTTTATAACGGAGCCGCTCCGCACGCCGTCGCTCCTTCTCTTCCCGTAGTCCTGCCTGCGTGGAAGCATCATGACCGCGTCCTGCTCGTCTCTCCGGTGTCCACCAGCTTTTTTTTTTTTTTTTTTTTACTTTTAAATGCTGGCAGTTCTGTGTGGAAGTTTCCACTCGGTACCTACCACGTACCCATTCTAAGGCTCGAACTAAGTTTCCAAGCGCGTCTTGCCAAAATCCTGTGCGGACTATCACAATAAAATCCCGTCAAAGTATTCACATAAACGGTGGAGAACCCACTCTAAATATACACTACAGTGGGTGGAGTACATCACATCTCAGTCCTCTCTGCCAGTTTTCTCTCGTACTTTACTTTCAACACATCTACACGTAAATAATTTCAAAATAAAACCATCAAAATCATCGCTAACCTGAAAAGCGAACCATATTAAACATTTAATAATACACAAACAGAAAATGTCAGTGTGTATATATAACGTGTTTACTGCCAGGAATGTTTTTATTTGAGCAGCGAGTCAACAGCAGACCACCACTGTAAACAATGTGGTCCGCACAACTCCTTCTCAGAAATGTCCTGCTGGGATTCTGGGAAATGTAGTTTCCCAGCTGGTCATAACAACTTGTCATCCCACATTTCCGTTTTAAGTTTCACCCTACGACTCAGTTCCTGTCTCAACACCCTAAGAAGTTTAGGCAAGAAACATGTGATTTGTATTTTAGTCATTAATTCCTAACCACGGCTCCTGTGTGTATTAAGATTTCAGAGGATTTTTCATTCATAATGAACCAGACTTACTCTTTACATCCAAATCCAGATTCAGCTTACTGCAATAAAAAAAATATGTAAAATTATTAAATTATTCAGGTTTTCTAAGGGTAACAACATAAATCGATCGCATAATCTAAGTAGTTTTCTTTAAGTATTCCTATTCCCTAAAATAATTTTAACATAATGACTTGGGGTGTTTTTTGTTGTTGTTGTTTTGTTTTACAGCCAGACACATTTATCCTGGATCAAATTCTTGAGATGAAACACCTGCTGTACAGCAACAGGTGGGGAAGGGTAACTTTCAAATTGCCAAAGAACAAGCAGATAATTTCTCTGGCTTCTCGTGAAAAGGACTAGTGTCCATAAAAACTGAAAATTTTAGCTTTTAGTACCTTATGCCTTTAATCAGCTCATGCCCAGCTGCAATGACATTTAAAGTTTTCTGCTTCATGTGACTCAGAATGACGGCCCCCAGCAAGCTGAAACCAATATCCCCTGATTGCCACTTGGTTTAATTCACGCCAACTTCTACACAGGTGAATAACTTATTTTCACTTAACATGAAAATATGTTTTTCTGGAGCAACTGAAAGTGTCAGATTTTTATTGAAAACTGAAAATCTTGTATCTTTTTCTTTCACTGTTGCCCTCTTTTGTGTTTAGCGGCATAATATGCAATTCAAGGACACTGATGTTTTGGAACATGACACAAAATTTTGAAATGTTTAATTGAGATAAATCTGCTCTCTTTTTTTTTTTTTTTTGAGATCCAAAATTATTTGAACACTAAAGACAACATTTGCACCATATGATTTTTTGACATATTTCCAAGATGAGGTCTTCCTCACAACCACACAGAGTGTAGCTTTCAGAGTTGATTATATTTTTCCTATCGGATTGTGGCATCATTCACCTCCTCGTTTCTTTAATGACTCCGAGGAAGCACGCGCCTTCGCCGTATACCGCGCTCGCATCGTGACGCTCGGCGCCGCGCCGCGCTCCGCTCCGCTCCGCCGCCACCGCTCGCTGTGCTCTGCTCTCGCTGCCACACCCTCCCTTTCTCCATCTCCGTCTGGCACGCGGGCAGCTGTGCGGGGAGCGTCTCTCGGTGCGTGCGTCTTGGCTGTCGTGCACCCGCAGCATCAGCAACACAAAAGGGCTCGGAGCTGTCGGGGGGCCAGGGTTTACCTCAGCGCCGATCGAAGGGGAAGAAGCGCGTTTTCAAACAAAGGTGCTGGGATTTTCCTCTCTTCTTCCATATTGTTTGTGTTTGTGCTGACTGTTTTTTTTTTTACCCCCCTCATTTGCACGACGCTGGTGACCTTGTCACCACAGCCCACTTCTCATTTACAATTGACCCGCACTGATCTTCTGCTTCATCCCTCCCACAGATGTGTATGTGTGTGTGTGTGTGTACATGTGCTGTAAATGGGATGATATTTGCAATTTGTTGTGACTTGAAATGCGCAAACGCGTTTTGCATCAGGCCAAATTTGCATTCATGTTACCTCCTATTAAAACTAAAGCGATGATGATAACGTGGACGCTTTTCGAAACCCGTTCGTGACAATATGCACGAAAAACAGAAGCCAGATTCTTTGTTCTTCCTGCGCCTTTTTGGTTGGCAATTAATAGACCGTAATCCCCGTGCGGCAGCATCCGCTAATTTGCCATTAACTGTTCAGCTGGGTATTGATTGGTGCCTTTAGGGTCTACGTTGATGGAGTCTTTTGCCGAAGCAATGGCAGTCTTTTTTATTTATTTATTTATTTATTTTTTATACATATATGATGCTCCACAGCAGCATCTGAAACGTCAGGTTGTTAATCAGCTCGAAGCCATACACGGGCCATATGGTGCGGGCCTTAAACGTCTTGGACAAAAAAAAAGAAATTATAGAGTCGCTCTTCCGGGTCATTTAAAGCATTTTAAATCAATGCTGGTATTTCTGGCCCAGTCAGTAGACTTTGCTGCTGAGACACACAGAGGCAGGGAGAATGGATGGCAGTTTGCCAGGGATGAATTCACAGGGCTGCTGGTGTTGTGCTCGTCAGGGTGATGGCGTTAAGTAAACTGGTCTGTGTCGTTTCTTGTCTTGAGGGATTTTGATTTGTTCCATGATTCTGACACGTACACCTAGACTGCACTGCATGCTGGGTGCTTTAGACAGAAAGGACTGAACACCATCAACCAGTTTGAGTCAGCCTGATGGTTTGGGGAATCTGCCTTACCTAAGAGAGACATGGAGTCTTCTCCAGGCCTGAACTCTCGTCCTTCTGTCTGCTGGAGTGAGTCAGACGCTTACATTTGAGACTGACAAGGCAGCGTAAGGCACTCGCTTCAACATTTGGTTGTATTAGCTTGTTGGTGAATGCTAAACAATATATTTTTTTTTATTAATATTGTTATAAAAATGTCAAGATATTTCCAAAAATGTCTTACAGCTATCCTCCTTGTCATAAGTCTTCCCTTATGCTCCACTCTCCATCATGCCATTATTTTATCCTCATCTCATTCCTACAAACTGGAAGATTGACTGTATATGAAAAGCATTTTTAGCTATTACAGAAAGCAATAAAGCTTTTTTTCTTTCTCTCTTTTTTTTTAGATATTTTGACGACAGAATGTAAAACAAATGTGAAAATATAGTCATGTTGTTATGGTAGTATATTTAAAATAAATAAATAAATAGTAGTCAATTTAAAAAAAGACTAAAGAGGTAAAGATTTCCTGTTATAGACCCATTCCCCAATTTCTTCCTCTTATTTTGAAGAAAAAATTGTGAACAATTTAAATTTACCCCCAAATTTATGGTAATTGCATCAACACTACATGACACAAAAAAAAAAAAATGTAAGAAATGACCGCATTCAATACGTCCAGTCCTTGCAGTTTCACTCCTCCACCTGAGTCCTCTTTCAAACATGCGTGTAATGTTCAGGTAACAGATTGTACGCCAAAACACACTCCTTCATCTAATACGCAAAAAAGATATTTGGTTTGCAAGCCAGTACTGGGCTCATCAAAGATTATTTGCCCCGACGTCCTCCGCTCAAACAAAGCTGCTTAATGTCTACCTGACAGTTTCTCTGAAGATGGTCTTCATATTTTCAGTTTCTTTACTGCAGCTAATAATGCCTTCAGATGCAGCGTCCCTGATGCAGGACGTCTTGCCTGCATCAGGGCAAGACGTTCACACTCTACTTTTCCGCTACAAATACAACTCTGAGTGTGTTTTGTTGGGATTTTATTTGATAGACGAACACAATATGGAGCTTAAGTTTGAAGTCTTGGAAAAAGGGATGCATCAGTTTCCTCCTTTTTTTTTTTTTTACTACTAAGAATCTAAACATGGTCACATTTATTTGTGTTGGCCCACAATTCTACTAATACCCTTAAATAAAGTCCCGTAGAAGCGATTACCATCAGAAGTAACCTAATTAATAGATTCCACCTTATTTTTAATTTAATCTCTAAATGTTTACAGCTAAGAACTGTTCAAATCAATCACCTAAAACGTACCCATTTTTAGGCAACGTATTAATTAGCCACTGCAAAAGACTGGAACTACAAAATAATGGCCTAGTATTTTATCTATTTTAGATCCTCTTCTGCAGAATTATAATAACCTACCTTTAAGAAATGTAGGCTAAATAAATTTCATTTCAAATTACGACAGATTGTTTGAGCCACACTAAGAAAAAAAGAAAAAAAAAAGAATTACAAAAAGTTGTAAAATAACAAGAATGAATTAATAATATTATGACAATAAAGTTGACATATTAGAATAGAATTGTAGAAATATAAGAATAAACCTGTATCTGATTAAGGTGATAATGTTACGAGAATAGTTGTACAAGAATAAAGTCAAAAAATATGAGATGACTATGACTCTCTTAAGTGGCGAATAGAGCTTCGCTCAGTACCGCTACGGCCGAGGAACGGGGGAGTCACTAGCGCTTCCTTTTGTGGGGTCCTCGGTCACCAAAGGGGGGTAGAAGTTGGGAGAGCTGCCCCTTAAGGCCGAGGAGCAGTAGTTACGTGGTTGTACCTCATTGTGGTCCCGCTGGACGGCCAGACGCCGGCAAAACCAACCGTCCCAGGTAGCGAGTCGAGTTTGACCAGGCCGACTCTGAATTCCTAAAAAATCAATCGGAAGGAGTTGCCCCCCCTTTTGTCCTTCCGCGGCTGAGGTGTCGCAGGCTGTGGCCTTCGTCCCTTTAAATGCAGACATATAAGCGGTCGTGAGCTTCCCTTAGGGGAACCACGCAAATTTTTGGTCGCGCATGTGTTTGTGGTTGGGCATGTATTGCAGCGTCTACAATCTCCCCAATGGCGACGGGACAGCTGTTGGGTGATTGGCGGGGTCCCACCCACTGGACTGGTGGAGCGGGGTGACTCTGCATGCTAGACCTTGGTTTGGTGTGTGGGGAAACTCCGTGTGAACCGGGCAAGGTGATTCGGGTTGCACACGTCCCTCGTGGCGGCGGTGCCATGGAATTGTGTGGCTTCGGA